AAGTAGTAAAAGTTCTACAGGATGGCATCTCACCATTAACCTCACTTCACTCTTCAATGTTTTGAAGATTTTTCAAGGATGGAGGAAAAAGCGGTAGTGACAGAAAGACTAGACACTATCAGGTGATATGGTGCTTTTTTTTTTTTTTTTGAGAACCACATAGTTGCTGGGACAGTTTGCATTCACATCTCATGACAGGCTCTACTCTCATGATTGAATTCAATATTAGAAACTCCTAGTTCTGGTATGATCACACCCACAAAACCAAAAAGAGCCACATGTCTCATTCCTGTGACTTATTAATATTTGTTGACTGATAAGATAGCTATAAGAGGAGAGGAAGTTATGAGTCGATTTTTGAGCACTTGCAGGTCAGGATCTGCTGTACCTGCTATGTAAATGTGCCTCTATCCTTGGGGAAGGAGGAGCAGTCTGTACCACAGCAGGCCAACCTCAGTAGCAAAGCATAATCTGGTCTTGGATCTAGTTTCTGGGTCCAGCAGTCTTGTGGTCTATCTCACTGTGGAACTCCTATCATGTACATTTACAGTATCAACACTAGTATCAGGTAGCAGTGAATCCAAAACTGCGGAAGGGCAGCAACAGCCTCAGGGAGAGAAGTCATATCATCCCAGGTCCAATAAAAAGTGCAATCAAAGAGCACAGATGGAAGGAGGAGATGCTTCTAAAACCACATGATTTACTTGTGCAGCCTCCAACACTGGCTTATGCATCATGATCAAACAACAACAAAAATAACTTCTCGGGTTTAGAGAGGTGACTTCCAGATCTTTCTAAGGAGGTGCAAAGATTTGATAGAGAGAAGCAGACTAGAAAGCAAGCCGAACAAAGGTGAGTGGGAAGTAACAATGGTGGAGGTGATGCGATAAATAAACCATCCCAAAATTGGTAATGCCACTTATCATGGTTACTTGGCCAAATTCAAGCAAGTAGAGTCTGACTAAGTGTTTATTGGGAAATTATATGAAGGGCAAGGACAATCAAATCAATTTGATGACTCACAGAGTAACTAGACTATTTTTAGCATCTTTCATTATTTGATTTGCTGGGCTCTACTAGTGCTTAAATTAAAACACAACTTCAACTGGAGGGCTTTTTGTTTGAATAATCAACTTGCTATGTATTTTATTGGTACTAGCCCCTTCTTATTTTAGCTAATGACCCAACAGCCTTTGTGGCAGAAACTTGATCCTAGCTTTTTTTTTTTTTTTTTTTTTTTTTTGAGATGGAGCTTTGCTCTCTGTCACCCAGGCTGGAGTGCAGTGGCATGATCTCAGCTCATGGCAACTTCTGCCTCCTGGGTAGCAATTCTGCTGCCTCAACCTCCCAAGGAGCTGGGATTACAGGCATCTGTCACCAGGTCTGGTCTAATTTTTTTTGTATTTTTTAGTAGAGATGGGGTTTCACCATGTAGGCTAGGCTGGTCTCAAACTCCTGACTTCAAGTGATCTGCCCACCTCAGCCTCCCAAAGTGCTGGGATTACAAGAGTAAGCCACCACATCTGGCCGATCCCAGCTTTTTAATTCACTAACACTCTCAAAATACCTTTTGCCTCTAAATCTCAGAATCTTTCTGCCCCTTCCTCTAGTGCCTCTAGCTTGTTTGATCACAGCATTCTTTACCACTAAGTACAGATAGGGCCTCAAATTCTTTGTTGCCTAGTGAAGAGCCTCACTAATCCATAAGTATTTGTAAATGAAATCTGCTTATTTTCTAAGATCTGGTATCTCCTTTTTCATGCCTCTGTATTTTTTGATGAAAACATTTAGGCACACATAAATTCAATGACTTTTCTAATGTCAAGGAGCAAGCAAATGTCAGAGCCAAGACTGTATATACTTGGTGCCCTGATTTCCATTCCAGCACTTTTTATAACATTTCACTCTCCTGCTCTGTAAAGATCATGATACTCAGGGACATGTAGGTTACCCACCATCACCATAAGGAAACTGGAAGGGGTCCCATGTCAATTATGCTACTCCCCACAGTGGCAGAGGTATGTCTGAGTCACAGCCGAAATCAATCACATGCTGTTTGATATTAACATGGTACCTTGCACATACCCTGTGTACTTCTCAGCACACATCACAATGCACTCAGAAAAATCTGTTTATCTGTCATTCCCAAATAGACTATGAGCTTCTTAAAGCCCAGGACTGTATCTTAATCACATCTATATCTCTAGCATCTATACGGGGTCTAGAACATATTTGACATTTATTTATAATTGTTTACTTGTTGAAAAAATAAGTTGGTGAATGAATGAATGAACAACAGTAAAGTAAATAAGAAAAGCACTAGACTTAAACCAATTGTTCTGGATTCTAATTATGATTTCTACTACATGCTATTTGACTGATTTGAAGCAAACTACTGTAACTTCAAAATAGTAGTATAACATGGTTGTCTAAAAACTTCTTTGTGTGCTGTAAGGGGCATGTAGAGTCATAATTATTACTCACTTCCTTAGTCAAGTCACGTTCAGTGACAAGCATATCTCTTGCCTAAAACAGGAGTCAAAAATCCAAATGCTGGGCAGGCTATACAGTGTGACAAGATGTAAGAGATATAAAAGCAAAAATACAACGATAAATAGAAACATTACACGTAGGATGATTGCACGGTTGGGGGTGGCAAGGACTGTGAGGTGTTAGATAGCATGTGACTCAACAAAATAGGGCAGCTTTGGCTAGTTGTCCCTGGAATGATTACTAACCTAATATTGCCAGATTTCTTAATTTTTCAAGAAAAGCTAGAAAACTAGATTTTGGTGATACCCCTTTATTAAATATTGAACAACATTGCACCAGCCATCTTGAGAGTATAAGCCACGTGCTTGCAAACTCTGACATACAAGTTGGAATACAATCATGATCAAGATTGTGAACAGGACCCACACAGTAACTACTTGGAAAAAATTACCTTATACAAAACCTAACAGTGGTTCAGGGCAAAAGGGAATGAACTATGGAGTTAGAGAACCATGCCACTTACTGGATGGGAAGCTCTGGGTAATGCACTTAATTGAGTTTGACAAGTCTTATTTCCCTACATCTTTCCCCAAAAACTGTAAATTGTATCCTAAAGTCTCAGAATAGTTAATACATGAAATAATGTGTTGAACCTGTGGCAAACTTCAAAACACAAGATTGAATCACCATTCCCTAGGACAGTGGCTGAGAATGAGTAAAGGATTGATAAATGAGTGATCACATAAAATGAGTGAACGAATGAATGAGCATCTTGAACAGTGTGCCTCTGTTAATGGACAACAAATAAACCTTGTGTTATTACTGGGATAGAAAGGCTATTTTGCTTCCACTTTACAAATGATAAAGATGAAGCACAGAGAAGTTAAGTACCTTGCTCAAGGTCACATAACTAACGGAGCAAGAATTCAACCCAAGAGCCTACAACCTGAAGTGTTACTTGACATTGTCCTAGATATTTTGGCCATTCCTGGAGAAGACAAAGTGTTAAATTCTCCATTAGCTCAAAAAAAAAAAAAAAAAAAAAAGAAAGAAAGAAAGAAACGAAGGAAGGAAGGAAGGAAGACCTTCTGGGAATAGTTATTGACAATATAAATTAATTAGTCAACTATGTTTTAAACAAACATGCTACAGAAGCCCCTATAAATAATACATTGATGATTCAGTTCATCATGCAGTGTAGGGTAGTTTGCTGCCAGAAAGAACACAACAAATTAGTGTTAAAAGTAAAACAACATTAATAGGCTTGAGGGTCTAATTAATGAGAAGGTAAAATAAATGAATCTGTGTGGTTGATCTAGGCCAAGAGTATGCACGTACGTGTGTGTGTGTGTGTGTGTGTGTGTGCGTGTGTCTCAAGCATTAGATTTTATGGTAATGAGGAAGACATGAAAATTGTAGACAGATTATGTTGAGTGTATTCTTTCTTCAGCCATTCTGAGTATAATAATCAAATAAGAGGCAAATGGAAGCCGAAGAAAACCTTAACTAGAACTGACAGAAATCTAAAGACAGTATAAAAATGGCCATTTTGTAGAGTTAAAATTTATAATAAATATATAATGTATTCCTTTTACCCGAAGACAAAACACGAAGGAGTGGAATGACAGAAGTCCTGCGGCTGTAATTAATGAAAGAGAAAAGAAAATGTCCATGCTTAATACGAGACCCCTGTGATGTCGAAATGTCGAAAACTAATGATGCAGCATGTGGGCCATTCCAGTAAGAAAGCAGAATTAGGACCAGTGAACAGCAACGGGCTGGAGCACCGGAAACGGGGGAGAAGGCAGGAGACCTGGCGCGACTATGCCGCAGCTCACAGAATCAGTGTTGTCCTGTGGGTCTTTATGTAATATAGACTTTTGGATTTTTTGCTCTAGGCAACATTTTGAGGATACACACACACACACACACACACACACACACACACTTGCTAAGACAGGGTAACACATTTGTCAATTAACAGGAACTCAGGAAAACAGACTACATATATATATATATATATATATATATATATATATATATATATACACACATAGGTGAATACATATGTGTAGCAGACTACACATACACATATATGTATACATATACACATATACATGGATACCTATAGATACATATATACATGTAAACATACATCCATTTGTAGTCTGCTACACATATATACACATGTATATATGTATATATATACATACATGAGTATATATATGTGTGTGTATATATATATACTCTGCTATCCTGAACTATTTAAAAAAAAATATATATATATATACTTTTATTATTCACCCATTAACTCCATAATATGCCAATCATGAACTAGTTTTCAGCAGTTACATTCCCTTGATCACGGCTGCATGAGGATATGATTAACTGGAAAACAGGGAGACCAGAGACACAACCGGAGGTGACGTCACGCAGCCCATGCCATCGCAATACAATTGTCAAGTTCACTGGTGGTTTGGTAAAGCCGGTTCAGTTCTGCTCCCTTTGCCAGGGATTCTCACGTGTGTGAAAATTGGACCAACAGAGGTGGGGTTCCATTCCCTGGTTCGACTTTTCAGTGGCTTTATCCAGAATGTCACTGGTGTCTGGTTATTGTAGCACCAGCCCAACCTTCTCTGCCCCCATGCTGGGGCATTTCCAATTGTAAAGGTCATACTGCAGGTCGCCGTCCCCTATGCCAAACTTGAGCTTCTCCAGGAAGGTTTTGTTCTCCGTGAGATCCAGTGCATTGAACACATCAAACCCTTTCATTTTGGCGAGAACAAGCGCGTTGCTGATGAGGTCTAGAAGAGGGGTCTGGGTGTGAACATTGTAGAAAGAATAAGCAGCTTTGAGACTCTTGTGGGTTGGATGGTTCATGATGGTGGAGGGCAGCGTATAAAAGCTCAGGAAATCCGTCACCTCTCCGTTTGCGCTCTCCACCACGAAAGTGTTGATGATGCTCTCCTGGGGGTAGAACCAGTGCTCCACCTCCTCCTGGCTCTTGACTGGCATGAGGTGAAACTGCTTCAAGTACCTGGTGAGGAGCTGGTGCACTACTGGAATGTCCTTTTTTTCCACTGGTGGAAGCCCAGCTGTCTTGGGAGTCTCTGGCAGTCGGTACAGCTTCACGGTGTGCTGCATGGTCATATTTCTGCTCAGGTGGGAGAACTTCACTTCAATCAGCTTCTGTGGGTTTAGGGACCGATGCCAATACCTGGAGGTGCCAACAGGCTTTGGTAGTACCACCCCAGCAGTGTAAACAGCCTGGAAGATGCCCTCCAGGTGAACCCACCTGGTGATCTCTCGGATCAGGACTGGAGACACCCTCTTGGAACGCAGCTTCTTGTGGACACACAGGATGTTGATCTGTCCACCATCTTCTTCTCTGTGTCATAGATATGGGTGTTTGCTGGTATGGCACTCATGAACCCAACCAATTTCCGACTTGAGACCACTCGAACCCCACAGTGCCACTGGGGGAGCCAGCCGGGTGGCCAGAGAGCCCACAAAAGAAACTCTGGGGAATAATCAAATTGGAACATGTTGTCATCATCTTCCACGTAGTTCTCATTCAGGAGGGTGTACAGTTCTTTCAGCACACCACAGTCACCCAGGTCCAAGGCATCCCAGGTGAAGCCCTGAGGTGGGGTGTAGGGCTCCTGGCGGATGTTGTCCTTGTCAGGCTCCCCGGGGCCATGGGTGTTCACCACCTTACCCAGCTTGGGGATGGACTGCGTATCCCAGAACTGGCAGCTTCGCTTGCTAGCTTCCTCCATGGTTTTGGCAGGTCCCTGACCCACTGAAAACAGCTCAATGGCCTTCTGTATTTCCTGGATCCTTTCTGCTAGCAAAAAGTTCATCTTCACAGGCTGATCCTGGGTTGACTCTGTCTCACTGCCTTTTTCTTTCTTCTTTTTTGTTTCTTTTTCTTCTTTTTTTGAGATGAAGTTTCGCTCTTGTTACCCAGGCTGGAGTGCAATGGCACAATCTCAGCTCACCGCAACCTCCGCCTCCTGGGTTCAGGCAATTCTCCTGCCTCAGCCTCCTGAGTAGCTGGGATTACAGGCACGCGCCACCATGCCCAGCTAATTTTTTGTATTTTTAGTAGAGACGGGGTTTCACCATGTTGACCGGGATGGTCTTGATCTCTTGACCTCGTGATCCACCCGTCTCGGCCTCCCAAGGTGCTGGGATTACAGGTTTGAGCCACGCACCCGGCCTCTTTTTCTTCTTTTTGGCTCCAGTGTCATTGGCTGGACTCAAACCACCCTGGTTTTAGCTGTTGTCCTCCTCATTCTCGCAATCGCTGCAGTGCTCATGGCCGTTCCCGTTCCCTTCCATCACCTGCGGCAGCGGAGGTGCCGGCGGCTTCACTGCTGTCTCACTCTCATCTGCCTTCTTGAGTTCTATCCCAAGCTGTTATCCAGACTACATACATCTTTAGTCTGCTACCTTTAACTCCTGTTTTTCTAATTGAACAATGTAGCTGCATACTTATATATGTAGCAGAATATATATAGAGATAGACAGATAGATATAGTGGGCTACCCCGAGCTCCTGTTATTTTGTTAATTGAAAAATGTGTTATCCTGTCTTGGCAAGTATTCATATATTAATTCACTTTGCAAAGACTGTAGTTTACTCAATTGGAGGTGTTAACAGTCTATACAATTACTTGGATTCAGTTGAGAAAAAAGGCACCAGTTTAGACATAATATAATCTAATTACTTGGTTGAAAAGTTCTGCAGAATTTCTTATCTGTAGACCCAAGGAGATTTCTGGTAATTATTCTAATTTCCAACAGGGGTGGCTTTTAATGAAAGGGCAAAAGAAAAAAAGAAAAAAAACACCATGGATTTACTTGAATGTAGTGATGTTCTAAGTACACCCACATAAGAACAAAGAAAGTTTTACTTATTAGTGTAGTTAATGGAAATGACCAGAAATTCCAGGAAGAGGACAAAAGATGGAACAAAGGAGTAAGGAGAGGGACAGCGTTTAGGGATGAAGCATGAGAAAGTTGAAGGTCGAGATGGAGGAGGAGGCACACAGTTTTTCCGTCTGTATTTGGAGTGTCTTTAATGCAAACATTTTTCCTCTGCCCCAGATGAACCCACTAGTAAAAATTCTTAAAAAAAAAGTTATTGGGTGGCTGCAAAGGCTTGAAGTTAGGTCTGCATGAAAGATACAGAATGATAATCAGAAGTATTAAACATTACCTCCCCTTTCAGTGTTTTCATCAGACTGCAAATTCACGGAGCACTGAGAATATTAAATAAATTACAAGCAGTTAGGAATCCTTCAAACCATGTTATTATCAAAATTAACCATAGTGACGTTATACTTCAAATAACATAAAGAATTCAGTTAGTGGGGCCTGGCCTAGAAAATTTAGGTTGCACCCTACAGCATAAAACATGACTGAATACAAGTTATTCTAGAACTGGTTGTGTTGGGTTTTGATAAGGCAGAGGTGACGTGGCCTCAACCCTTTTGAATATGTTAAACTGCATCACATCAAAAGAGAAACAGTGTTCAGTGCAGGCCTGCCAACACTGTGGACACTCCTTACATGCCAGACACATGCCAGGAGGGCCCCTAACTGAGCCTCTGGAAAGATGCTGATTAAAAGACATGTTTCAATACTGTATATGTACTTGATTAATCAAAAGGCCCGAGTTCTGCTTAATTTTAACTATAAATCCTGAATTCTTATTTTAGTTCAGGCAGCAACTGATCCAGAACCTAAAACAAGATATGAACCAATATTCAACTTCCCTCCAACCTATGATGAGAGTGTGTGAATAAAATTCTTTACACCTGCCATATTAACAATAAGGAATTCCTGATGTTCCATTCACCAAGGACTAGGCACTGTTCTCAAGTGATTCACACGTGTCCTACGCTTGATTCTCCCACCACCCTCTGGGGCACCAAGCAGAAAAATAACCTGCCTCAGGCCATCTAGAAAGTGACGGTACTCACCAAGAATGAGTTTGAGAAGGATTCAACTGCCCAGGCCTCTTGCTTCCATCTCTCTCCAGGCCATCTTACCCTCGATCTCACTCTCCCAATGCACACACAGTTAATCTTAAGGACATTAAACTTGATAACAAAGTGCCGATAGCACATTCCCGTGTAAGCTAACAGCCTTACTATGTGCTCTAGCCACGAGCATGCTGTTTTATTTAGGAAGATGGATTTGAGAGTTCTCTCATTTAAACCCAAACAGTTAGTTAGGTGTTTTTGTTATTATTTTTTAAATCATTACTCTTTACTTTCTCTATCATTACTATGCCTGTTCTGCAAACCAATAAGAAGTATATGAAGGTGTAGGAAACACAATGAAGGGAGAAGTTCCTTTTTTTAATAAGGGAGGGTCCCCTTTCTCTTAACAAGGGAGGAGTAGAAAGACCAACACAAAATACTAGTTATGATATCTATTAATCCCAAATACTGAGTATTTATTATGTGTTTGGCACAGTAAGAAGAAAACACAAACTTGAAAGTACAAGAAATGAGAATGGGAGAAAGTAGAATAGTCAAATATGGAGACACGCAAAAAATTTTAAAACCTCTTTTTGTGTCTGAATTGAAGAATCTCCCTATAAATTCACTCCATGCCTCCGGAGAGGAAACCAATGGATTTCAGGCAGAAATTATGAAACCCCAAGGAGAGTCATTATCAGCAGGGAGACAGCTGTGATATAGCATCCCTGATTGTCTACATTCAAGACTCAAACTCAGGGGGACCATAGAGGTCCCTTTGTTAAAATAAAGCAATCATTTCCACCTTCATTAAAGAAAATACCATGGCATTATTAATGTACAGCAAAAGTCCCATATGCTATAGTAATACTGGTGAATCTTACTTTGGGGAGCTGTTATTGATAGCAAATACTCATAAATAAAACATAAATAATGCCTTAATCATACATAGCTTAACCATATTCACTTGCATGCTGACTTTGCTACGGAAAAACCTTGCATTACTTCATCACAACTACAAGAATAAGCGATGATTTTTTTCCCTTAATTGTAACTTTAGGACACAGAAGTGAATAACCAAAAACAAACAGATATGAATATATTTTCAGAATAGTCAAAATGCTCTTTAGGTCTTATCTTTAAAAAAGAAAAACACAGGCCAGAAGTAGTGGCTGGTGTCTGTAATCCCAACACTTTGGGAGGCCCAGGAGGGTGAATTGCTTGAGCCCAGAAGATCTAGACCAGCCCAAGCAACATGGTGAAACCCCATCTCTACAAAGGAGACAAAAAAATTAGCCAGGCGCCGTGGCATGCAACTGTGATCCCAGCTACTCAGGAGGCTGAGGTGGGAGGATCTGAGCCCAGGAGGCAGAGGTTGGAGTGAGTCAGGATTGTACCACTATACTCCAGCCGGGGTGACAGAACAAGACCTTATCTCAAGAGAGAAAAGGAAAGGGGAGAGGGGAGGGGAAGGGTGGGAGGGGAGAGGAGGGGAAGGGAGGGGAGGAGAGTAGAGAAGAAGGGAGGGGAGTAGAGGGGAAGGGAGGGGAGGGGAGGGGAGAGAAAGGGGAAGGTAGGGGAAGGGAAGGGTAGAGAAAGGGTAAGGGAAGTGAGGGGAAGGGGGAGGGGAGGGGAGAAAAAGAAAGCAAAGGAAAGAAACACAAAACTGTGATGATCCTCAGTATAACGCTGGCATAACTGTGGGAATGTAGGGCTCCATCATCTCACAAACCTAAAAGAATGTCAGATGGGAGCACTTTGGCAACTACGGTGATAGGGAAATAAACATAGTGTTATGGGAAGAATTTTCATAATTTTCAAAACAATCTGTACTTTCTTTTGTATATTTAACATATTTATTAAGTAATTATTTGTGTCTTTGTTTAATGTCCATGGACGTGTTCCCAGCATTTACTAGAATGCAGAAGGTATTCATTAAATACTTGTTGAATGGCTGGCTGAATAAAGGACGAACAATTACCCCTTGCAAAATAATGGTTTTCTCATTTTCCCTGACCCATCTGCAGTCTGAGTCCTAAGGTCCTGGATTTGAGTTTGAGAAACTGGGAGTTTCTAACAAGAATCACAAGAAGACAAAGGTTTCCACATAAAGTATGGATTACAAGGAAGACTTCCTCCAGCCATTGCAAGTTCAAACACTTAGGGGCAGGCTGTGATCTAACATACTAAGGAAAGTTTGGGTATGTGACTCACAGGGAGTTATTTTCCCCTCTAGGGAGTCGGGAGATCCAAGATCCTTCTTCCTCCACTATAAACCTCACTGATGAGTTGCTCCTCTCTTCCTGGCGGCTTCCAGTGGGATTGACTGTGGTATCACTCTCTCAGCCTTCAGGCCTGAGAAGTGATGATTTATTTACAAACAGAAGGATCAAGGCATCTTCTAGAAATCTCCTGTGGGATCAGAGACTAGTATCTGAAGAAACCTTATGTTACCAAAGATGAGTTAGGGAAGAATTCAACTGCACACGCGTCTTGCTTCCATCTCTCTCCAGACTATCTTACCCTCACTCTCACTCTCCCAATGCACACAGTTAGTCTTAAGGACATTAAACCTGATAACAAAGTGTTGATGGCACATCCTCATTTAAGCTACCAGCCTTACTATGTGCTCTACCCCGAACATGCTGTTTTAATTAGGAAGATGGATTTGAAAGTTTATATGTTCTGTTGTGCTATAATTCCTGCCTTTACAG